ATTCTATTGTTCCATTGTAGGCTACCTATACTATGTATTGCTGCGTGTCTGTATATATGTCATGCTGATCTTCTGTGCCGGTGAGCCCAAGACAATTTTCCACCTTGTTGGACAGCAAAGTTTTAATCTATTCTGTTCTAGTCACCTGGACTTCAAACGAGGTGTTTGAGGCAACATTTTCTGGAAGAGAACCCCCTTTGGTGTGGACTTTGCAGATCTTTTACATGCGTAGAGAAGCAGCTGCATGACTCAATAAAGGCAGAGAGGAACAAAAAAAAAAAAACTACAATATGGACCCTTTAATGGAAAATATCGATCCTGCGAATGGACGGTTACTTTTTAATGGTTTGAATCGAAATGCACATTTCAACTACAGAGAAATGAATCAATGGGAGCATCTCCAGTCTGCAGCCAACAGCCGGTTAGCTTAGCTCAGAATAAAGAGTGGAAACAGAAGCAAACGGCTAGCCTTGTAATGAAACTCTGCCTGCCAGCATGAGAGAAGAAGAGAAGAAAGTAGGAAAAAAAGGAGTCTGGAGGCTGATATGAGGAGGTTCAGCAGGAGGCCAGCATAGTTTTACAGGCGATGTTTTCTGCTGTTTCTCTTTCAAGAATAAAAAGAGATTTACAAAACTTGTTTGTGGGAGCTTCTCAGCCTGCTGGGGCCGGTTCTCAATATGTGGATTAGCATTTCATAGTTGGATTAATTTGTTGTCGACTTGGCATCGCAGCTTTCTGGACTTCTCCCCCAGAGGTAAGACGGTTTCTACCTGACTTTGAAAAATAAAATCTACAAAATTCCAGAGAAGACACCTGCCCGAGTCTGAGTGGACAGAAAGGTAAGAGCTTAGTATCTTCCCAGAATGCCCGGTGCTCAGCAGAGAGGATGGAAGATGAAGGAGGAGGATGAAGAAGATGAGACACCAGATAAAGAGTCTTCTTCAGCAGCCTCAGCAGTGTTCAGACGCTATCTCTGTTTACACGATATCTGGTTCTGTGGGTCACTGCGACCACACACAAACACGCACAGCTACACTCGACATAAACCTTTAGCCATCACTCTACAATTTCCTGATCCGTGCTTTTCTTGCCCTTAGAAGGAAGTTGAATCTCCAAAATGTGACTTTGCGGACAGATGTATGTCCCCACAACATGGATAACACACTGCAAAAGCAAACATCGTGACAAGAAACTGTAGAAATCTGGCAGCAAAGACGCTCAAAAAATGTGTTACAATACTGCACATGAAAAAAGTAAAATAAAATTAAGAAAACAAACAAGTTAACAAAGCAGAGAAAACCTGTAAAATTATTCTAAAATTTAGCAAATTATTTGACCATTTTTCATCCGTCTTATAAATGTTTTTATTCCATTTTACATAACAGCAAATATCCATTAAATAATGACATCTTTGGCCGATTTATATGCAGTAAAATTGTGTAACTTCACAGTTAAACACTTTAAAATGATGGATTATTATCTGGAAATAACCTGATGTGAATTAACGTGGGCCTTATTTTATTTTCATATATATCATATTACTTTGTTATTATTGTTTGGCCTTGGTTTGACAATTAACACGTACATTTACACCTTTGTTGTTGTGGTTGTTATTTCGTTTAATTGAACTAAAGAGGAAATACATTTAAAATAGCTTGAAAAAGAAATTGGTAAAGAAATTACAGCTAAAAAAGTTCATGTTTTTATTTTTATTTATATTTTTACAATGTAATAAAACAAATCATAGAAAAAAAATATTAATTAAAATGTTAAATGTATGTAAGATGAAAAAATCCTAAATTGTATGTAATTTCCAGATCAGAAATGTGTGTTTTTACTGTGTTTTACTGAATCTAATCAGCGAAAAATATTCTTATTTTACAGATATTAGTACATAGTATATATATATATAGTATTCCACTAGTTTTTCCGGCACCCTTGCTGCCAGATTTTCAGTTTTTATACTTTTTTTTATGGCGCACTAATAAAGCATACACACACTCAGAGCGGTCGGTTAAATCTGCCGGACTAAGATAAAGAGGGGTAATCACACGGGGTCAAAAACTTGAACCGCGTCCTCAAAGTTTTCAGAGAGCAGCTCTTCTCTCATCTGCTGGTGGTTTATTTCTGTAATGTCAGATGCTCTGAGCGGCCATCTTTGTTTCCGGCTCGCTGCTCATTAACTATCAAGAGATAGAAAGAGCTAAAACGCACGAGGGGAGTGTTGAAGGCCTGAATCATTATCATCCATTAACATTAAAGCAGAGCGAGGGCTTCACGAGTGACCCATCGTCTGGTTTTACTCACTTAAACGTTGTATTTAAAGGTCAGCGGGTTCAGAGAATCATCTACAGCAGATTGCTAAAGTAAGATAAAGCACGGAGTTGTCTCCCATAGCCTGGCAGGAATTGGTTCTGTTTACACATAAAGCACTAAAGGTCAGAGGATGATGGCTCTGTAGCTCCTCTGACTCTACGAAATCACAAGAAGTACAGCACTTTAACAATGTTTGTGCAACAGAAAATCCTTGAAGTACAGGATTAAATAGAAGATGACCCTGATTACGAGTGAACTCTGCCTCCTTCAACATCTGTCGACTGGTAGGACAGAAAACGGTTTATCCTGCTGGGACCTGAGATCTCATTAACCCTCTGAACTCCAACACTCACCAGTGGGTTTGAAAGGCATGATATCATTAAAAAAAAATCACCAAAACTACACTATTTGACAGCCAGAAACTGTAAAAGCAAAGACAATTGTCAAATTTCCAACCCTTTGACAATACTTTACTCATCATGACATGCTGTTTGGTCAGAAAAATGAACCAAATCAAAGCTTAAAATTGTCATATTTTATCCAAACCATTTAATTCTGAACGTGTCATCACAAAATTAACAAAAACAACCTGTTTGCAAAAGATTCTATGAACAAAACATTTGGCTGAAATGCAGGTTGTATGGAGTATGGAAACAAATAAAATATTCAAGCAGTAAAGTATGTATAGTACCCAAAACAGCCATGTTGTCCAGTACTGGTTACCCCGGTGGGTACATGTTAATTCTAGGTTTTTATCAATTTTGCAAAATAAACAATCAAAGAGCTTTAGTTTTGTCTCTGTTGTGATTTATCACCGTGTCTTAGGTGCAGTCAGACATTGTTGAGTTGGCACTACTTCTAGGGATGGTGGTGCTCGGATAAATATTCAACAAAAACAGTCATCCTCCTCGGAAACGCTGCAACATGGAAACCAATATTCTTGAATTTTGTCTATTAGTCGCACATGTAAACGCTTTGGAGTCAGGATTCTGAAGCACTGAATGATTTTCCAACAGTTTTTGATGTAACTATTCTGTTGAACAAGGAGCATCATCCCCAAACATACGGCCCAGTACAGGAACTGAACACAGTGGAACTGCAAGTTTGTACTTACAAAGAAGAACAGAAGTCCACATTCTGATTTACTTTACAAAAATTCAAATTGGAATCAGAGGGTTTACTGTAATTCTGGGATGCCAGCTTATTAAATAGAGATTTGTGTGATCAGACCTAAACTACTTGGTGCAGAAAAAGGTTTAACAGTAGTTTTAAAGGTGTTTTTGTCCTAAACTGAAGTGATGAGGTGGAGAGTTCAACCTGCAGAGGGCGCTAACGTGATCAGAAAAACTGTAGGTTCATCCTCTGGAGAGCATGACTGACATTATTTATCCCTTTTAACTGCTAGTTTGACAAACTGATTGTTTTATTAAGGTTAATGTTGATTAAACACAATTAGTGTCCCTGCAAATTTTAACCCTGCCGTCATTTCCATTCACTTTTCCTTCATTCTTACTGTAAAACAGCTTCAAAAACCTTCTGCTGCCTTTGTTGTACTTCATGTTAAGCTTGTCCTCGCCGTGTTTTTGGTCCTGTCTCTTTGTGTTTAATGTGAATTAGCTCTTCATCCCTGAGCTGTGAAACAAGCTCAACTCAAATTCTGTATCAAATGATGCTCTTTTCATGTATTTATTTTTTTTCCCTGGTTGCGAAACACTGTCGCTCCCGTCGCGCTGCCCGCCGGTACACAAACGTCATCTTGTATTTACGAAGCGAGGCTGCGTAGAAGGAGTCGAAAAGCGCCACGCTGTGTGTTTTGTTCAGGGTTTAACCTGAGACGCGACGATAAAGCTGCTTTTATCGAGGCAAAAGGAGTGCTGCACACTGATTTTTATTTCACCCCTGGAGGCGGTGTACCTTCGCTAAAAAAATTGAAAGCAGGTTTTCTTGTCACTTCCCACCTCTGAGCTCCGCGTAGTTGACATTATTTGATATGAGTGTGTAAGTCCGGACTCTGGAGGCCGCGGGTTTGTCGACAGATTCAATGAGACAAGACAAAGAGGAGAATAAAAACAACAAATCGCTCCGTTGGCGTGCGGCTGGAGTCGCGGCGCTGCTGCAATCCTCCGGTGGCCAGTGTCCTTTCAGAGGCAAACAAGACGCCTCCACACTCGCATTATTGAGTGTATACCTGAGTGAGTTCATGTTTTTTTTTTTTTTNTGTCGCTGTTTTGACACTGTTTGGGAGATTCAGTACAAATCACTGAACAGGACTGAATGGAGCCTTACAAAGGCTGCAGGAGCACTGGGGGCGGCGTATCGCTGCACAAGAACACTATCAAATGTAAATTAGATGCAGTTTTTGGCATCTATACTCAGTCTCATAACTTTTTGATGAATCCTCATATATAAAGGTGGATTAGTCCTTTGTGACGTCACTCACAACTTTCCCGGATGTGTAGTTTCAAGAACATCTTGAAAGTGCCCGACTCCTCCTAAGTCTCGGCTATTTCAAAAACCAGCAAAGAGGTGGAGCACGAATGGAGCTAAAGGGGGGTTAAGGACTGTCCTACAGCGACAACCTGTCACTCAAAGTGGCCACACCCCTAATTATGCATAACTTTAAGTCTTGATCCATTTTAAATAAGTGAGTTAAGTAGAATTTCACTCTGCCCTCGCACTCACCTGTACTATGTTGTAAACACATGTATTTATGCAATAAAGTCAGACATTTTAACATGGGTGTCAATGAGGATTGACTTCCTTTTGGAGCCTCAAGTGGACATTTAAGGAACTGCAGCTTTTGGCGCTTTTACGTTGGCTTCCCTTTGCAGCCCTAAAGGTTGGCATTAAACTTGAAAACCAAAGCCAGCTGAGTTTGAAAGAAAGAAAGTGTGTGAAAACACCAGAAAACAGGTGGAAGCTGTTTGTTCTTTAAATCCAAAATCATATTAAAACTGAGGGACATTTCAGGATTTTAAAAAAAGTGAGTAAGAGGGCAGCTCTCCCGATCTTCAGTGTAAATTACGATTCTGAATCCAACACAGCTGACACACAGTCCATAAATAAATCCTCCTGCAGTCATTGTTTCAGCGCAAATGCAAAATAAACACACCGCGACCTGAGCCAGACTGTTTCTGGGGAATAAATCACGACAACAAAATCCCGTCTCATTTTTCGCTGTCAAAAGCTAAACACAAACACGAGCGCGTGGACGTCGTCTGTGCACATCGTTTGTAACGTTTCCATGTCTGCGTGTGGGTCGCTCTGTCGGGAAGTCTCTTTTCATAATCAATAAACATCCGCAGCAGCTGCTCGTTCAGAATGAGCCGCGAGCTCCGGGGTCACGACGACCTCGCTCCACGCCCACGCTCAGCGAAAAACGCCGCCGTCATCCACCTGTTCCTCTGTCTGCCTCCGTCGCGTTCGGCTCGTAACCTGAAAACACGCTTAATTACACATCCAAACACCTCCTCCTCCAACGCTTCTTCGCTGAAGTGGTTTCAAACTGTCCTCGATTCGATGTTACCTGGACTCAATGGAAGAAGACAGCTGTAAAGAGTATGAATGAACTAAAAATAGTCGGTAGAAGGTGAAACAAGCCTCTGGTGTTGAAGGGTTTTGTTCAAATGAAAGGGTCACTTCACCTAATTTAAACAGTCCTTGTTGAGAAGGTTTTTTGTGTGTTTTCCGTATTTACTTCCTTCTCCTGTGAGCTGTTCAGTTTTAATCAAAGCCTATCCACACAAACTGGTTAAATTTACCTCCATTACAGCTATCTTGCTTGAAAATGGAGCTTTTTCTAAAGAGAAAGCGTGCATCTAAAAAACACAGTCCTATTAGTGACGAAGCAGCTGGTGGCGGTAGCGTGGCACGTCACCGTTTTAACGAACCAAAACTGGAAAAGGAAGAAGAAGAAACGACACTTTCCCGACGTTATACTTGTCATTCCACTTCCGATTGTTCTGTGATTCTCGCTGAAATCTGGACTCAAGGTCAGTCAGTCGCAGCTTAAATATCTTTTTCTTTCAAGTAAAGCCATGTGTAGGGAATAATAAACACTGAGGAGGGAAAGAACTGAAGTTATGTCCTTACAAAAGCAAAAATAACTTCTCTTTTTCTACAGTAGTAGTAGGGTGTTACTGTCAGAATATTTAAAGATGCTTGTCTTTGTAGATTTTCTCTTTATAGACCATTCTGGGCAGATATTTGAACATATAGCAAGGCAAGCCAAGGTGTAAATAACATGTAAAAGGCAGCATTATGATAGTAATCACATGTGAACAGGAGAAAAAAGGTAAAAATTGGCCTGGAGTATTTCCTCCTAATTCAATGATGCATTCAGATGGTCATTTTAGATTTAATGCTAGGAAGGGTCGGTGCAGATTAAAGGGCCCCTATTGTGTTTTTTTTTTTTTGTCTGCAAATTTAGCTAAACGAGCCTTATTTGACTTTATTTGACAGGCGATTTGCTCACTGGTGTGCAGACGTGCCGAACATCTCCATACTTAAAGTGCAAGCTTTACTGTGCGTGGGACAATTATTTGTTGCTGCTGCGCCGTTGACCTGCCTTGTTAAATAAAGGTTGATGCTTTCTCGCTCTGCTCTGCTTCTTCGCTCGCTTACTGCGGTTTACCTTCTGTGGAAATGTCAGCACGGGGAGCAGCTGGAGGCCAGGAAAATGAGGCTTACTGGTGTCGGTGGTGTCGTACTGGGAGTCCTTCTGCAGCTCGTAGACGTCCACCTCCACCCTCGCCTGGGAGGAGCCCTCCATCAGACTGTTGATGTTCTCCCTCGCCAGAGCCAGCGCCAGACGCTCGCCACGGCCGCACACAGACTGGTCATCCAAAATGGCCGCTGGGGGGAGCAAAGGGAAGAGGAAAGGTTTGGAAATGAAACTGGAGTTCAACAAGAGACCCATTGAATCACAGTGTGAACAGAACAGGTGGGTGTGGTTGGGTTTATCTTTTCATTTACACTCTATATCTGATATTTGATTGGCCCTGAGGAGGACACAGGCACATTGCAAGTTTGATCTCTGTTACAGAAGCACCATGCAATGATATCTGCAGATCACCCTTTATGGGGTAAGTGACCATATTTGGTAACTTCCTTGGACGTTCAATATGTCCACTCTGTGGCTCTCCTTTAGGTTGAAGAACCATGTGCACTTTGGTTGAGTTTAAATATTAGTGCCAACATCATTACCTTAGAAAAAATATCACTAAACAAATGTTCCAGGCACTTTATAAACGCTTTGTTATTGGTTTGCAGTGATCTCCACTTTATTTTTTGAGATTAGTGCCAAAACCACTACCCCAAGAAAAAATGTTACTAAATGAACTTGCCAAGCACTTTGTAAATATTTTGTCACTGGTTGTGTAAGTATCATTACCGCAAACTAAAATGTTTCTAAATAAATGTTTTTTGCAGTTTGTTACTTTTTCTTTTGTTTATTAGAAATTCCCTTTTTTTAATAGTAGATGGGCAAGTTGCCATATATGGTAACTTTATTAATCTTGATTTACAACATTTGTTTTTTTGTAAAGTCACAAAAGTAAAAATGTCTAGAAACATCCTTCAAAAACAACTTAGGGTTGAAATTTTCATTTTCCATGTATTTCAAGGAGTGGCCTATAAAAGGCTAAACCTTTTAATAAAACATTAAATTTTTCCGCATTGCATCACCTTTCAATAATTGCATCATTGCATGAGCTGAATATTCAAGCATTCTCTCTGATGAACAATCAAAAACAAATACTTTGGAAAAACTATATTGAAATTACAGGCCCTAAAGAAGAAACTCTAAGGAACCAAAGTGCATCTGTGATCACTCAACCAAACTGAGTACGTACTATCAGTCTAACTGAATTCATTTGGTTCTGACATGAGATGTGAACAGCAGAATTTTCTCAGTTATGGACCTATGGATTGTGTTTATCTGCATCGGGGCTCCACATGAAATTGAGAAAGTGAAAAATCTGATTGTGATACTTGAAGAAATGATACAGGAAGATTGGTGACCAACTGGAAATCAGCTAAAATAGCTTGAGCAATAATCAGGAGGTATAAAACGAGCTGCAGTGGTCGTCCACCTAAAACGACGCCAGAGACAGTGAACTACCTTCATAATCAAGCTCTGAAAAGCAGACGGCAGACGTTTCAGACTCGGCACAGGGGTTATCAATGGAAATGAGAGTTTCTGTGACAGCTCAGACAGTGGGACAGAGAGTTTAGAACAATAACCTCTGTGGATGTGTCCAAGAAAATCACCTCTGTTTGCACTTTCGTCTGAAAAAGCAGGATGAACCTTTGCCAAAGGACATGAAAAGACGAATACTGAGAGCACATTCTTTAGTTAGTTGAGACCAGAATACATTTGTTTGGCTCAGATGGGGTCCAACATGTTTTGCGTGAACCTGGGCAGGACAACCACAGTGAAGGCAAAGTCCTGACAGTGAAGCATGGAGGTGGAAGTGTGCTCATGTGGGGCTGCGTGAGTGTAAAACTTGTTAGGGAGATGATAGATGACCACAAGTCTGTAGACGCTCAGCAGAAGAGGGATATTTGTAAAAGAAAACACACTGACAAAATCACATAGGAGTTTAAAAAATAATAATAAAAAATATGACCCAGCCAAGTATGTTGCCTGAGTTGAATCCACCAGAACGCCTTTGGGGTAGAACAACACAACCCCTCCAACAAAAAGAAGCTGAATAAAACAGCCTCTCAAGAAAACATCTCAGAAACACTGGTATCCTCAATGCCGATGAGGATCGCCATCAAAAATAAAGGTGAACGTATGAAGTATTGAAAAATTAAACGTACTGACTTGTGTTGCCCTGAGTTCCTAGTGTGGGTTCTTTACTTTTAATACGGTAAATCTAAACTGCTGGTTTTTCACATTACATCCCCACTGTTCAACTTAGATGCAATCCTGTAATGTGATACAACTTTGAATCACTTGACATTTAAGTGATATTTTACTGATGATTGTGTAGTCACTCCTGTTATGCACAACTACAAACTGAATCCAAGATGCTGCATGCACTTTCAAACAATAGGAAAGGCCAAAAATACAGAAACAATATCAACAGTCAAATATTCAGACACTCAAACACAAAAACTAATTTTTAAAAAATGACAGAAACATTTACTATAAAGCACTGATACTGTCCTGATCCACTTATCTAGAACATTTAGCTCTGATTTGCTAGAAAGGTAAAAACAAAAAACTTTCCAGGAAAGAAAAAAAAACTGCTGATTTATAGATACAAGATTTTGCATGAAACCTTTGCTTATTTTACAGCTCAAGAGATGATCGACGGGGGACGGTAAGAGGTAATTCTACGGGAAACAGACGGAAACGCAAACAAGTTTATCACCAAATGCAACAAAATGGAGTTTTACTCTGCAGACTGGAGTGGAGGGAACAGTGAGCACAGATAGCAGCAGCATCAAAGTTTGCAGAGACAGAGTGCTGATGATGCCCGTTAGCCACAGTAGCAGCTGCAAGAGATGCTAATGTCAGTCTGTCGCTGGTCAAGAGTGAAACGCATTCAGATTTTACACAGATATTCACGGTCCATTTAGTCCCCACAGCAGGTTACGAAGGGCCCAGAGTCCAGACAGCGCATCGAAGCAGCCTGAGTAGGTGCAACAAGTGTGATTAAAATGTATAATTCTGTTTTCTGAGTAGGAAAATCATGTTGATGAAACAAGACCTGCAGAAAAGCCAACATCACCTGCAGCAAGGTGACAAACTGAAAATAGATTTGATACTCGTCCCTGGATCTTAACAGGAAGCGGAGGGGAGCGTTCACAGCTGCTGCAGCGACTAAAATCCACTAGTCATCGTTTCTATTTCCTCCTACTAGAAAGGGTAGAGAAAGAAGAGGAGCCCGTCGGCTGTGTACAGTAACACCTGCCATGTTTATTTTTGTTGCGCCCTCCTCGCTGACTCTCCTGCTTTACATTTAAAGCGCGCGTTTGGAGACTGGGCCGAATGCAAAAGGCTGCAAACGCTCACAGATAGCAGATGGAAATGCAGAAAGGTGTGATCAGGTAGTTTATTATATGGAAAGCGTATCCAGAGGGCAAAGGAGGTAAATATTGTCTGCTGCTGCAGCCTGATCTGAATACCAGATGAGCTCAGCTCCGGGGAACAGTGAGCGGAAAAAAAAAAAAGAAACTGAATTTCAGGCTCACGACTTGATTATGAGCCAGAAGAGGGATTTTTCTGCAGTGTAAGTCACCCCTTTCTTATTTCCCAGTTTCAGTGGACATTGAGCTGTAACGCCGCAGAGCAGAGACGCCACACAACAAGACCGAAAATCAAAGGGAATCTGCTGCCGAGACTCGGTAACAAGCAGAAAGTCTGCTGCCGGGGCTTGCTCTGGATTTGATTTGTGTTTCTTAAATAATTAACGCCTCTCGGGGCGAACTAGGAGGCGATTTATCGTGTCCTTCCTCAAAAAGACTGGTGTGGGTTTTTGCTGTTTAGGGAAACACAAAGAGAGACGGATGGATCATGTAGAATTGTTCTCTGAATCCTCTTGCTTAAACCATAAAGAATTAGACACGGTGGAAGTCTTTATCTGAGATCTAGATGACACCTAAAGCTTCTTTAACCCCGTCTCCTTTCCCCCATTACGCTTTGGAGGAACCACAATCGCTGCCTGGCTGGTTAGCACCCTAACAACTGGAATCATTTTGAAACATTTCTTCCTCGCCAAGCGTCAGATGAGACAAGTCAGATGTTGGACTGACGTCAACAGCAGGAACAGTGCGTCAACAAAACAATTAAACTCTTGTTAGTCACTACCAGAAAGACTAGAAGGTTAATCTAATTCATATTTTATTAATGCACAAATTCGGTGTATTAGACCCAACAGATGGCTTCTCTCCCCAACTCTCCTCTTGTGCTCAGATGTTGCAAACCAGGAAGCTGAAAGTGGGGCAGATGACATCCAGTAAAACCAGTGCAGTGTGATGAAGGTTGTGTCATTTGGTATATCAGAGCAGTGCATGGCCACATTGAGCGCAGGCATGTGAACAGCAATCTGCAAAGAAAGAAGGCTGATAGCACGTACTGTTTAATGCAATATGCATATTACTGGGATATACTACTTTGTCATAATAATTCACCTTATATTTTGCAGCCATTGTACAGACAAGATAACACTTCTGCTCAGCTATGTTAAAGTCAAAAGCCTCTAAGTGTTAAAGAGCCCATATTCTAGCCATTAACAGGTTTTATTTTTAGAACCTACTGGAACATGTTTACATGCTTTAGTGCTGAAAAACACATTATTTTTCTCAGACTGTACATTACTGCAGCTCCTCTTCTCACCTGGTCTGAAGCAGCTCCAGTCTGCTCCTATTGGTCAGCTGGTCTGACCAAAGCAGGGAACACCGGGTGGTTGACGGTTTTTGAGTTTACACAGTAAGATGTAGCTCTGACAGAAGCAGATCCAGTGAAGTAATAATGTTGGACTGGGAGGCAGCTGCTTATTCTTTGTTTGAGGCCAAACAAAGAGCACAGGCTGCCCACTAGGCAGCGTTCCTTTACCGCTGCTCTTTTCCTTATTTACTAGTGAATCTGCACTCGATGATCATTTCAAATTGATGAAGTATGCAGATGACATGACATTAGTTGGTGTGCTACAGAAAACTGAGTCCTCTGGTGAGACCTCCTACCTTGCTCACATTAAAGCAGTGGGAGCATAGCGCCTAGATAGGCAGCTAGAAATCAGTGTTTCTAAAACAAAGGAGTTCTCTACAAAACCAGATTTGACAGTAGACCCCGTTTCACTTGATGGTCAACACGTTGAAACTGTGGAAGCTTTTAAACACCT